ACTCAGTATGGTCCTTTTTAGACCTTTGTTGGTTTGAAATCAATCCCCCATGCACAGAGGAAGGGGAGGTAGAGTGGGGGAGAACATAAATGTTGAGACAGATTTAGATTTGGTATTTAGACTAATACTAAGTAATTGCACAGGAAAACAAAACAAAAAAAAGAATGAGTTCCGTGTGAACTGCCTGTCTGCGTATATTGGAACCTGAGGTACAGACCGTTAGGAGTTCTGGAAACTGAAGAAAGGAGTTGGTCAGATTCCAGAAGGAACTAAGAAGTATGAATTATTTATGCTGCTGTCACGGTTGTCGGTTTGTCATTGTTAGCCAGGGAAATCGGCTTTCATTTCATTGTCTTAAAGCTAGGGGAGGAGATGGGAGATATTTACTCTGGGAACTGCCTGTCTTACTGTTAAGTAATTTACATATTGTTAAGTGATTTCCTCCATAGGACATTCCCACCATGTCTCTCTGGAGAAGGAATTTAGATCAGTTTCTTCAGGGTTGTTGCTGATGCCAGAAACGCTCGGGAATGATCCTTGTTTGGGGTGCATCTGATTCCAGTTCTTCCCCTACGAGTCCTGTCCCTGAGCTGTCCTGAGCTGGGAGGGTAGCTGTGGTGGTTGCTGTTTCATCAGGGTGTGGAGGAGAGTGTGTGGAACACCGGGCGGTTTCCAGGTAGTTCACTCGGGAGCTGTTAGGGTGAGAACACAATGCCTAAGGCTTCCAGGAAGCCTGTTTTGAAACAGACTTTCAGCTTTGTCCTAATTGGTCACTGAGAAGAAGAAAAAGAACAGGTTGGGTGACAAGAACAAATGGCAGGAGAAAAGAGAAGAATTGGACCTGGCTACAATGCAGATCGGTATCAAATCTATCAGTACCATGCCTGCAGAAATAAAAGGGGCAGGACCACGACAGAGATGCAGTTTTCAATAAGGTCTCATCAAGAGAATATCCTATTTACACACTGGCTGTTGATAACTTACAGTGTAGGGTAAGTGAAGTAGTAGGCTTTGTACTTTTTAATGATTTTTCGGTTGACATACAATATTAGATTCAGGCAACAGCACGATTCAACATTTGTGCACATTACAAAAATGGCATCATACTAAGTCCAGTTGCTATCTTAGCAACTTTCAAAACTGCAGTATCGTATTATCAGTTAGGGTCCCCTGCTGTACATATCCTTGTATTATTTTTTCATACTAGAAGCCTGCAGATTTTTTTTTATCACTTTTAGCCATTTTGCCTACCTTAGCAAGTCTCCTCACCCAAGAACCACCAATTATTTTTCTGCCCTATGATATTTAATTTTTTTTATATTTAATTATTTTTGTTTTTATTTTTCACATGAAAGTTAATTAGGTACTTGCCTTTCCATATCCAATTTATTTCACTCAACACAGCATCCTCAGGATGCATCTATGTTGTCCCAAATTTGATTTAAAAAATATATATACATATATATGTATTCATTCTTTTTCATGTCTAATGAAGTTGTGGCTGATGAAGCCACCCTCCAGAACTCACGACTGCTTCTCCTAGAAGGGAGCATAAAATGAGGTCCCCACAACCATGCCACCGGACTCCGTGCCAGGCTGTTTTCACCTCAGGGTGCCCCAAAGGGGGGCAGGTGAGAGCCCTCCCTGCCCCAAGGGATCCAGTTCTGGCAGCTGACCTCCACTACCCAACTGCTGCCATGCTCCAATTCACTTTCCACATGCTTGGGCCAAGCCTCACATATGAGGAACATATTTCTGGACACTCCCTACCATTTTCCATTATCTGTATATCTTGGAGAGCCCAACAAGCTACTGAGAGTATCCTGCCTGCATGGCAGAGCCTGGCAAGCTCCCCATGGCATATTCGATATGCCAAAAACAGTAACAATAACAGGTCTCATTCCCTGACCCCGAAAGAGCCTCTAATATGGCAGCATTGGGAAAAACGAGTAAGGAGAGGCTGCTAAAATCTCATGGCTGGGACGAATGGAGACGTTACTGGCACCCGCTTGAATAAATCAATGAACAACGAGATGACAGTGATACGGTGATACAGTGAATTAAGTAGTATTCCATTAAATATCTTTTTCATTCTTTTTATCAATGAACGAGCTGGAGCGATAGCATAGTGGTAGGGCGTTTGCCTTGCACGCATCCAACATGGCCGACCCGAGTTCGATTCCTCCGCCCCTCTCGGAGAGCCCAGCAAGCTACCGAGAGTATCTCGCCCGCATGGAAGAGCCTCACAAACTACCCATTATGTGTTCGATATGCCAAACACAGTAACAACAAAAGTCTCCAAAGGAGACGTTACTGGGCCTGCTTGAGCAAATCGATGAACAACGGGAGGACAGTGACAGTGACAGTGATATCAATGAACATTTGGCTTGTTTTCGTATCTCGAATACTTCTGCAAAACAAATGCTCCAATGAACCTGGTGTGGAGTGGTCTCTTCAAATTATCAGTTTCATTTTCTCAATAAATATCCAGAATTTCTTGATCATGTGTTACTCTTACTTTTGTGAGGAATCTCCATACTATCTCAAGGGGTAGTAGCTGCACCAATTTTCATTCTCAGCAACGATACAGAAGTGTCCCTTTTCTCTACCAGTACTTGTTTTCTTAGATTTATTTTATTTTTATGACAGTAATAAAGTGATCTCACTGTGGAAAAAAAAAAGAAAAAAGAAACGGACCTGGCGTTGTGAGAGAGGACAAGCACTGGCCTGACCACGGGGGGGGAGGGGGGGTGGAATGCAGCCCCCTAAGGCGGAACTTACCAAACCTTTCACTTTTCACTTTGCCTCCTGATGTTGCATATTGTTCCGTGAGAGAGACAACCCAAAGACCTTAGTCTGTGAAATTTATGTCAGACTGCAACTTGAACCAGAAGGGCGAAGAGGTTGAAGTGGAGGAACCCTTGGAGGTCTCTGTAAAATCCAGATGTACGCCAACTTCATAGTAGTGGAGAGAGATGATTTTAAGAGACAGATTAACCTTAGCTGACTGAAGAGAGAGGAGACGGATCAATTCAACACAGATTTAAGCACTGGACAATTTTAGAGGCACGTTTCTTTGGCATGATATGAGAAGCGCTGACAGAAATAGGTAAATCAGGAAGGAAAGTCACATCCCTGTGAGAGTGGTGTGTGGAGAGTTGTTTTGTCCCACATAGTTTGTTCAATTCCCAAGTCGGTGTTTCTCCTCAGTGGCACTCATCAGAGACTTACTGTCCCCAAAGCCACTCTGACTTAATGTATGGTCCTAAGATTGTCTAAGATCTGAATTTGGTTCAGAACTCTCCAGTAGCTTGTTCCACGTCTTTCTGAAAAACTGCCGTCTTTTGCCTGGTGGGTCATTATTCTTGACGTAGGTGGTCTTCACATCCGTCTAATAGTCAATCCCCTGGACCTAGAGACAGAAGTTTTGCAAGGCCTGAGTTCTTTTGGTCTGCATGGCTATTGGTGGTTGGTCAGCCTCTGACACCAGGACCCCAGGGGGATCCATACGGGCCTGGACTCAGTTTCTGCATCCCACAAAGTCTGTAATATCCGGCTGACATTATAAACTTGCCTGGTACAGCCTTGACCCCATGAATAATCTCTTTCCTTCCATAACTAAGTTTTCCCCTCAGACTCCTCCTTTTCTCTCTCTCAGCCAAACCCTGATGCTGCCTTTTCCCCGGCTAGTCTGCCCTGGACAGACATGTCCATCCTGTGAGATCTTCCACAGGTCACTGTTCCCATGTCAAAAGACAGGGCCGGATCATGCCACTCTTCTGACTGGAGTTTTACACTGGCTTCCCCTACAGCCTGCCTCACTCCCAACTCTGCAGGTGACCAGACAAGGCCCTTTGTGTCCTGGAGCTGACAGGCTTCCCCAGCCCCCGCTGAGTCTCGACACCGATGTCCCCTTAGTCACTGAGCAAATCCTTCCTTTGCTGCTTCGTTGAGCGGCTTGAGCTCCTGGCTCTCATTGTGAGGATTGCTTCGTGAACAGCCCCGGCTCTCCCAGAGCAACTATTTCCTCTCTAAGTTGTGGTCTGCGCAGGTAGAGGGTGAGAACCTTTAAGAGGCATTAGCTGTGATCATTCTTGCCTAACTGACCTTGGTTTTTGCAATGCTGGGAATTAAACTCTCCCACTGAGCACTTTCCTGGCCTGATCTTTGGTTTTTTACTCTGCTCAAATTACATGCACCCACGGTTGGAAAGGTGACAGGGAAATCATTTATTTGAAAGAATTTCCTCAAACCTGCACTATGTCATGCAGTTCCATCTTAGTGGCTGTAGAACACAGCCGTGACACTTCTTCCAGAAATTGGTTTGGCAGAATGTAGCCTTAAAAATGTCAATAACTGAGACCAAATAATGGGGGCAGATGAGGGTGTGAACCATTATGTTCGTTACATTGTTTTTTTATAATAGCAAATCCCAAATAGTTAAGTTTGACATTTCCAGGGAATGAGCTATTATATGAGAAATGTTCTCTAAGAGCAAATGGCATAAGGTTTAGCTTGTGTTAAGTAGGAAAAAAGAAGTCAGAATCCAAAATTGTTAGTTGATAAGACCAAAGATATATTTAAATAAGCATAGGAAAAGACCCAGCAATGAGTGATATTGTTTTGAGAGTGTAGCACTGTTGCATAGAAATTTGAATAACGTTTACAGCTTGCACTATTCTAGCTACCTTAAAGTGACCTGTTAAGGGGCTGGACAATAGCACAGCGGGTAGGTGTTTGCCTTGCATGCAGCTGACCCAGGTTCAATTCCCAGCATCCCATATAGTCCCCTGAGCACCGCCAGGAATAATTCCTGAGTACATGAACCAGGAGTTACCCCTGTGCATCACCGGGTGTGACCCAAAAAGAAAAATGAATAAATAAAGTGACCTGTTAATTTTAATAACAATTATGTAGCTTCAGCATGGCAAGTTAACCAGATACTTCTCTCCATTTGGGGCATAATGTATCTCAAAAACTATTTTTGGTTCTCCCCACAGTTTGAAAATCTGAACACAGTTGCTGAGTGTCTGTTTTCGCTGGTCAATGGTGATGACATGTTTGCAACCTTTGCTCAAATCCAGCAGAAGAGCATCCTGGTGTGGTTGTTCAGCCGCCTCTATTTATATTCCTTCATCAGCCTCTTTATATACATGATTCTCAGCCTTTTTATTGCACTGATTACAGATTCTTATGACACCATTAAGGTAAGTCATCGTCAGTATTTCCTGTCAAAAACTGCTGCTAATTGTGTGAAGATGGGAACTTTGGAAACTACTAGATATCTTTTTTCCTGGCAAAAAGGCATTTTTGTTTGTTTGTTTTTGTTTTAGCTTTTTGGGTTATACCCGGTGATGCACAAGGGTTACTCCTGGCTTTGCACTCAGAATTTACTAATGACGGTGCTCAGGGGACCATATGGGATGCTGGGAATCGAACTGGGGTCAGCTGTGTGCAAGGCAAACACCCTACCCACTGTGCTGTCACTCCAGGACATAGAATTGGGATTCTGTGTCTTTTAATTGAACACTGAAGTTTTATATAAAAAATTTTTTAGGTCTTGGAGGTCAATTTTAAATATGACACCTAAGTCAGGCTGGCTTGGTCTGGACGCGTGGTGGGAGAGAGTAAGGAAAAGGATGAGGAGGGGCTGTATATGAGAAATGAGGCTCTGGGGCTCCCCTCTGGCAGGGAGACCTCCCTGATTGGCTCCCTGACCCTCAGGTCTGGGGCAGTCGCTCTCATCACCACCTGACACTCCGGATATCCGGCGCCTGCACATTAAGTAATGCAGTTGCACTCTCACACTGCAGGTCTTAAAATTGTGGCAAACTAAGTTTTGTGGCTGTTCAGCATCTCCCTTCCTAAGCCACCCAGGGTTTCTGACTCCTTTCAGATGAGGGTTCTGACTGACACCCGTTTGCCTCAGGTTGTGTTCCCCTCACAGCCCATGGTTATGCTGAGGAAATTCTCGGGACGCAGTTGGCATCTGAGCAACCAGGTTTACCGTGGCTTGTCTTGGGCTGTTCCCTCTACTTAAACCCTTCTGGGCTGACTCAGAGGAAGTAGTTCATTAACAACCAAGTCCTTTGTGTGTGGGGGGTGGGGGAGTGCGGGTGAGAGGTTCGTGTTCACGTGGGAGCAGATGACTTAGCAGTAGAGCTGAAGGTGGAGAGGAGAGTTGCATTCCCTAGCCCTCTGGGTTCCTGTCTCTTTTCTTGGCAGTGGTGGGGGGGAAGGGGGCTTCTCCTCAGAGGGGCTCAGCAGTTCTTGGCCAAACAAGTCAGGGGTTCAGTGCCAGGGTCCACCTATGTATGTTGTTTGGGCCCTGTGGCTCTTGGGATACTCGGGCCATTCGGGCAGTGCTTTGGGTCCTGACATGGATTTGACAGTGTCCCTGTGAGAGCACCAAGTGTGATGATGACCTGGTGGCTGACCTCACTCAGCACAGCAAGGCTGGGGGTGTGTCTCAGAAGAGCCACAAGGTGACCAAAGGAAGCAGGGACCACCTCCCACACAGATTTTATGTCAGAAAGGGAGGGCTGGGTCCACTCTATAACTGCAACATTTGCCTGATTTCTTCATTAATGCCTGCCTGCTCTGTCTCATTTTTCTTTCTGGAGTTTTCCTTTGGACTGTTCTTGATTCTCATGGTGGCCCTGGCTTGTCCTTCTGGGACTGACCGAGTGAGTCATCATTATTAGTATCAGTTCTTGGACTTTAGCGCTGTTCATGGGGGAGGACTTTGTTGTACTAAAGGTGTGATTGGTGTGTTTACAAAAGGAGCAACTTCTCATGCTCTAGAAAGATGATAACATTGTGTACTTTTTTTTTTTAAAGAAATACCAACGTAACGGGTTTCCTGAAACAGACCTTCAGGAATTCTTGAAGGAAGGCAGTGGCAAAGAGCAGATTCAGAAGCAGCCCTCGACCTTCCTATCCTGCATCTGCTGTCTGAGGAGGTCAGTGTGTGGTTGACCCAGAGATCCTCAGGCTTTCGGGTTACACTGTACCCATAACCAAGGCAGCTCACTTGGATGATCAGCTATTCTGCACCTCTTTCCTCCCAGTGAACTTGGCTCCCAGACCAGGGGAGAGAGCTCCCTCTCTCTTGGGATCCACAGAAAGATCCAACCCAAAGAACAGGTTGGTGGTTTAGGAAGCCCTGGGTAAGACTAAGGGTCTGAGCTAGGGTCACACATGTGCGCAGGTCAAAGTGTAGCACTGTTGTCCTGTTGTTCATTGATTTACTTGAGTGGGCACCAGTAATGCCTCCATTCGTCCCAGCCTTGAGATTTTAACAGCCTCTCCTTATTCGTCTTTCCCAGCACTGCCGTATTGGAGGCTCTTTCAGGATCAGGGGAATGAGACCTGTTATTGTTACCATTTTTGGCATATCGAATACGCCACAGGGAGCTTGCCAGGCTCTGCCGTGGGGGTGGGATACTCTTCGATAGTTTACCACTGTCGCTATCTCTGTCCTCCCGTTGTTGATCGATTTGCTCTAGCGGGCCCAGTAACGTCTCCATTGTGACAGTTGTTACTGTGTTTTGCATATCGAATATGTCACAGGTAGCTTACCAGGCTTTGCGGTGTGGGCAAGATACTCTTGGTAGCTTGCTGGGCTCTCCAAGAGGGGCGGAGGAATCAAACTCGGATCGGCCAGGTTGGTCGCTTGCAAGGCAAATGCCTTACCCGCTGTGCTATTGCTCCAGCCCAGGTAGCTTACCAGGTACAGGAAACTGACTAATTCACTGTCTGGAGTCCCCGGCAAAGACAAAAACAGTGGCATACACTCAATACCTCTTTTGCAAACCACAGCACCCAAAAGGAGAGAGAAAATAAAAGGGAATGCCCTGCCACAGGGGTGGGGTGGGGTGGGATGGGGGGGATGGAAGGTGGGAGGGATACTGGGAGCACTGGAGGTGGAGAATGGGCACTGGTGGAGGTATGGGTACCCAATCATTGTATAACTGAAACCCAAGCACAAAAAATTGTAAGTCTACAACTGTACCACATGGTGTTTCACTAATTAAAAAAAAACAGTGGCATGGTTGAATTCTCTTGGGGAATATGATAAGACTCCAGAAGGAATGAGTTATGTTGCTGAATTGAAGAGAGTGAACTTGTAAATGGCCAAAAGAGATGCCATAGTTTCTAATTTGGTGGGGAGCAGGTTGTTCAGCCACACCTAGTGATGCTTAAAGCTTACTCCTGGCTCTTTTACTCATGGACCATATGTGGTGCTGGGGATTAAACCAGGATTGGCTGCATGCCAGGCAAGCACCTTAACCCTGTATTATCTCTCTGGTCCCATAGATCATATTTTAAATTTATTTTATTAATTTATTTGTGGTGCCAGGGATCAAAAACATGATCTCAACCATTTGAGGCTTGTGCTTTACTGCATTCCTGGCCCTAAGGGCCTTTCAGTGGTGGAGAAAAGGAGCTTTTCTTTCTCAAATCTGTGGTACAGAAAAAAAAAAACTTTCTTCTTTCTCCTCCTTTGCCCAGGGGGCACAAGGACACTCACTGCCAGGCAGTGCTTGTGGCTCCTGTGATGCCAGGAATTAAAACTTGGGGCTTCACACATGCCAGGCATGTGTATGCTCTACCACTTGGAGCTATCCCCACATCCCAAACAACCTCTGGTGTTTTGTTTTGTTTGGGGGCCACACCTGGGGGCTCAGGGATTACCTCGAGCTCTGCACTCAGAGGTGACAACTTGGCAGGGGATAGGGGACAAAATGGGGTGTGGGGGATTGAACCTGCATCATCTGCGTGCAAGACAAGTGCCCTGCTTGCTGTCTTATCCCTCCAACTCCAACACAACTCTGTTACAGCCTTTGCAGGGGATCCAAGACTATAGGTTAGTTTGAGTTGCCTCGGCACATGTGTGACCTTATGAATACAGCTCATACCCTTAGTCTTACCCTGGGTTTCCTAAGTCGCCAATCTGTCCTCTGGGCCCTTTTTGTGGATTCCAAACATCAGGGCTGCCAGGATGACCTCACTGCTTGAGGAGTGGGGGGGCACTTGAATTCACAGCCTTATGCTTGCTGAACATGTACGCTCAGCTTTCAGGCCTTTCTCACTGGGGTTTACACACAGTAGGCTGTGGAGCTGGAGAGAGAGTACAGCGGGTAGGGCATTTGCCCTGCACGTGGCTGACCTGGGTTCAATCACCGGCAGCCCAGGTGGTCCCCCAGCACTGCCAGGAGTAATTCCTGAGTGCAGAGCCAGGAATAAGCTCTAAACATCACTGGGTGTGACCCCAAAAAGCAAGACAAGCAAACTAACAAAAAATAGTGTGCTATTTGATCACATCAGTGCACGAGGCAGCCCTGGGCTTTGAGCTCAGTCAGGGCATCTTACTTGTTGGGAAAGTGCCTTAAGCCACAGCCCAATGTCTGGTGCACACTTCCTCACCCCAGTTACCTTTCTTTTCTTTTTCTTTTTTGTTTTTTGGGTCACACCCAGCAATACACAGGGGTAACTCCTGACCCTGCACTCAGGAATTACTCCTGGGGAATTGAACCCAGTTCGACCGCATGCAAGGCAAATGCCCTACCTGCTGTGCTATCACTCCAGTCCCCAGGGAGCCTGCCTGTGAGGGAGCTGCATGTCCTAGGGTGGAAATGTGCACCAACAGCTCCTCATTGACTGGCTGTATTTTTGCTCAGTGTCCCTCAGGACACATAGGAAAATGGTCTGGAGCCTTACACGCTAAACTGTGGGCTTAACCCCAGATGGAATCAGATAACTGAATGTGGAGTTATTAAACATGTGTTCTAATGTGAAGTTATGGTTTATTATCACTTAGTTTTTGAACTGTATGCCTATTTTTTTATATGTCGAATGATGTAGAAATTGACATCCACTTGCCTGAAAATTTTCTGCATGGTTCTACATATAAAAATAGGTATAAATTTTTCAGACAAGTGGAAAGAGCTTATAAAATTCTGGTCTAGAGTTTAGTGACAAAGTGTTGCTCGTGATTTGGGAACTGTATGAGTGACAGATGAGGATTGTGGTCTTCTAAAAATTTTTTGGTTTGTTTATTTGGGGGCCACACCTGGTAGTGCTAAGTGATTACTTCTGGCTCTGTGCTTAGGGATCATTCCTGGTGGGGCTTGGGGGACCATATGCTGTGCCTCGGATTCAACCTAGGTAGGTAGAGTGCAAGGCAAGTGCTTTACCGACTGTGCTAGCTTTCTGGACTGTGAGGGCCGTAGTTTTAATTGTCCCATGTTTGCTTTGATCAGAAGTCAGGGGTGGGTTGGTTAACTAAAATTCCCTCCTCCAATGTTTTTAAGAAGGAATCGCTGAACCAAATTCCTAGAGGAAGATGGGGGAACATAATTGCTACTTAAAACCACAGGATGTAATTTCTGTTAATCAATTCATACTATATCTTGGGATTTGAAATTAGATGATTGAGCATTGCCAAAGGCTGTCTGGTAAATATCAAATGAGGTCTTCTGAGAAGAGTCAGGTTTTTAAAATCGCATTTCATCCTCTCAGAGCTTTAAATTGTTGCCATGGAAGCTAGGATAAAGGGAAATTAATTTTCTTAATAGACAGCTGCCTCCTAAGAGGCAGCTTATAAAAGGGAAGTCTCTTTGGAAGTTGCTTTTCTAATATGCCATTAACTATGAAGGAAAAAATATTCATCAAAGAGTGTAGTGGTGAATTCTGGTGTGTGACCAAAAGGGTTTTGATGCTCGATTTTGGGAAAGTTGGTTTGTACCACAAAATAGACCCCAGAAAATTGTTGAATGTGTTTTTGTGCATCCCGATGGGGAAAGTGCAGGAAGTGGGGGTTGGACAGAGGGTAGTGAGTAAGATTGGGGCAGAGTGGTGAGAAGGTAGTGCCATCAGATTATTGAGGAGAGGCCTGGTATGAAGAACAGAAGAATTAAATGAAATAACATCCGCCAAAGAGATCAACCAGAGTACTGAATGTTCTGAAGAACAAGGGTATTGAATGTTCTGAAAACAGAATAGCAGAAAATAAAACGAGGAGTGGTTGTTCTCAAAGATGGGCATGCATGTGGCCTGCTAGAGCAGTTGTTGAGTAGTTGGACCAAAGCTTTGATCTGCAGGAGGTTGGTTGAGAAGCATGTGGAGATCAGAGCATCCTACAAAGGAAATGGATTGTTTTGGGGCCTTGAGAGTAAGTTAAAACATCGACTCCATCTCAAATAAAGTCCTCTTTTCTTTTCTTTTTTGTTTTGTTTTGTTTTGATTTTGTTTGGAGGTAACCCCAGTTAGGGCTTACCCCTTGTTTTGTACTGAGTGCTCACTCCTGGTGGTATTCAAGGGAACATATAGGGTGCCAGGAATCAAACCCGGGTTTGTTTTGTGCAAGGCAAATGCAACCCAATGAAGTCTCTTGCATGTGTTTAAAGGTTCTGACCCAAGGACAGAATACAGTTGAAGTGAAGTGAGCTGACCTTGCAAAGACCCCAAGGAACCTGGCAATAATTATGTTGAGCTGTTGACCCTGAGGGACAGCCTTGACAATCACTGTCACTCTTTCTTAGGCCCAGCTGTCCAGCTGCCACCACCACAGGCTGACTCCTCCTTGACTTAGTGATATAGCCTGTAGCTTGATCATCACTTGAGTGCCTGAGTTTTCACTTCGGATTCTGCTGCTTATAGGAATGCTCTTTGAGTAACATCATGTTCTTTGAGTGACACCAGGATGGGACACATGTGAAACATCTCTTAGTTCTAGCATGATAGGGTTTTTTGAATGTAAGTTTGGCTGAACAAATAGAGAGTTGAGGAGCTCGGAGATAGTGCAGATACTTGAGGGGCTAGGAGATAGCTTGTGTTAGAACACAAGCCTAACATACACCCAAATGGGGTTTGAGTCCTGGCAACAAAATGGTCCCAGGACTGGCCCCGGAGACTCTCAGCACCATAGTAACCAAGCAGCAACGCATCCTCGAGCATTTGAGCTGGCATGCCTTGTTGGTTGAGAATCAAGAATTGCCAGTGGGACTCTAGGGCCTCCTGAGCACCACTTGGGAGCCCCACCCTCTTTACCTCCAAATGCTGAGTTAACCTTTCCCCTTCTAAGCTGCAGAAATGAAAAAAAGAAAGAAAGAAAGAAAGAAAAAACCACCAAACTGCTCTTCTAGCCTCTGAATAGGCCAATAGATTTTGTCAAAGAAGGGGTTGGAGGCCGGAGTGATAGTAGATGGCGGGTATGATGTTTGCCTTGTGTGAGGTTGACCCAGGATTAATTCCTGACATGACATATGGCCCCCGACCCCACCAGGAGTAATCCCTGATCTCTGAGCTCAGAACCAGGAGGAACACCTAAGTACTGTCAGGTGTGGCCCAAAGATGGAAGGAAGGGAGGGAGGGAGAACTGGAGGATTATATGAAGTATATGACTCCTCAAAGTGGAACAGGATCTACTCAAGCCAATGTAAAATGCCATTCTTGTTTTTTCTTTTGTAAATTACACTCTTGTAAGTTTTAGACACCTGTGTCTAAAATAGAGTATTTCTGTTCCAACTTAAAGATTTAAAAATTACTGTTCTTTTTTTCTCTCCCTCTCCCTCCTGCTACAGGGAAGGAAATGATGACCACTTGATGCTCATTAATTAAACTGTGAGAAAGACCATCGTTTCCAGTTCCTTATCCAGCAGCAACACAGATGGACCCCCAAACAACTGGGACAGGCACTTCCAAAAAGGCAGCCTTATTTAATTGCAAAGTGGGGAGGAGGACTGTCAGCTGTCTCACCACAACTGAACTTCAAAGTTCCCGTTTATAAACTTGGATAATGAAGCACAGCCCACAGTGAACTACTGGGCATTAGTGCAATAGAAATGAAATGGAAACAACAAGATTCTCTATTGATCTTTTAATTTATGTCATGATAATGTTGAGGTGGCCAAGGATCACATTTCAGAGTGTCCAAAACAATGGTGTTTAAAGTCATGTGGTTAAAGAAGTGTGTTTATCATCAAATCAGAGTTTGTTTTAAAAGAGAGTTTTGAGTTGAAAGACACGTAGTTTATTTTTTGTGATTTTTATTTCTTTTGGGGTTTAGGGCCACACCGGGAAATGCCCAGAGCTTAGTCTTGGTTTTATATTGCGGAATCACTTCTAGTAGGGTTTGTGGGACCGTATAGAGTGCTGGATATCCAACCTAGGTTGGCCACATGCAAAGCATGTGCCCTACCCACTGTACTATTGCTCCAACCACAATGTGTGTTTGTTAGTTCTTGGTTTGCACAGAAACAAAGTTGATTGCACTGCCAAATTAGAAACTCCAAGGAGAGGAAGTTTTAAGAGTTTTAAAGAGTACACTCAAATCAAGAAAAAAGACATTTTTTTTGAGTGGGCTGCCTCCTTATTTTATTTATTTATTTATTTATTTATTTACTTTTTATTAGTGAAATACCATGACATACAGTTATAGACTTACAAATTTTTGTGCTTGGGTTTCAGTTATACAATGATCAAGTACCCATCCCTCCACCAGTGCCCATCCTCCACCACCATGGGTCCCAGCATCCCTCCCACCCTCCCCACACCCTCCCCCCCCCCCCCCCCCCCCCGCGTCCCCGCATCCCACCCTGCCTCTGTGGCAGGGCATTCCCTTTTGTTCTCTCTCTCTCCTGAAAAAACACCTTTTACAGTGGACATTTTTGGGCCTACTTTCCTGAAATTTTCTTCTACTGAATAATATGAATCAAGCTGACCTATTCAGTGGGACAAATAGGAAAGAGTCACTTGGATATCTCATCACTTGTGCTTGTCATTGATAGTAAATACATGACACATAGGATATATCGTGGTGGTTACTTTTCTTCATTGAATTTCACTGTGTTGGGATGTCCTTTTTTCCAAGCAAGTAAATAGGGCACATTTTTTCCACGTAAAATAATTTTTTTATCATAATAGATATATTCCCTCCTATTTTTGTAATAGGAGTAATGTGCTCTCAAGTCTTAAATATCTGGTCTCTAGAAAGAAGTTCTCATTTGCTTAAAAGCTGCAGAAGAGATATGGGGCTAGGCTATCAGTGGTATTCCATAAATATAGATGATAATAGCTTGAGATGGCAATTATTTTGTGCATACTTCTATTTTATACTTGAAGTATATTAAAGGTCAACTCTTACACATTTATTGGTGAAGAATATAGCTCGGCAGGATTCTCATTCCAGGGATCATGCATTTGCTCCCTCTAGCCCCTTCCCAGATTATCAGTCTTGTTCTTCCTTCATCTTACCTTCCCCCCATACTTTCTTCATATGGCAACTTCAAAGCTGGGACTGAAAATCATCCAGTTAATACCATTAAGGCTGTAAAGTAAATTATTTATATCCACATATGGAATATCTTGCTAAAATGATCATTTTGGATTCTTTCCAGCCCCTCCCCCCAAATTGTTCATAGTTATGTTTGACTTTTAAACTAAGGATGACAACTTAAACTCAAGGTTCTGGGGTCATTTGTAAGATTCCAGAATCATTTGTCTAATTCCCTGGATATACTCCCAATATTTAGTTTGTCTCTGCACAGAATTGCTATGCTGTGCCTTTTGCCTAATCTTCAACTGTGGCTGCCATTTGAATGGAATTTTAATGATAGTCTTCCGTATTATGGTTTTCTTTTCTCGACCATCATAATTCCTCTTTTCCCTCTAGTTGCACCTGATGCTTTCAAAAAGAAAAATAAGTTTCAAGGTTACGCTGTATCTGGGAAACATTCTTTTCTTTCTTTTTAATCATTTTACTTTATTCCATTTTTATTTTTTTGCTCTTTGGGTCACACCAAGCGATATACAGGGGTTACTCCTGGCTCTGCACTCAGGAATTACTCCTGGCGGTGCTCAGGAGACTATATGGGATGCTGGGAGTCGAACCGGGGTCTGCCGCATGCAAGGCAAATGCCCTACCCATTGTACTATCGCTCCAGCCCCTCTTTTTAATCACTTTAAATGATAGTCACATTACTCATGTTATTGTAACTCTTCTTATAGGCAAAGTCTGGAACAAACCATTTGGTCTTCTACTCTGAGCCTCCAGTTTTCACTTGTTCTTCCCTTCTAATTGGTTTTAATCTAGAATCTCCAACCCTCATAAAATGTACTTCTTTGGCTTGCAGTGACACTCTCCAAGCTAAACACAATATCCTAAACATTTTTTTGAGTGGCAGGAGAGGAACTGTGTAGGAACTGACTACACAGATTTGAGTTAATACCCCACCTGATCACATAACCCTGTGGCCCTCGGTAAGTTGCACACTGCCTCTAAGGAATGAAGATAAAAAAAAAAAAACTGGAACTTACATCAAATAACTTATGCAAAGTCTAGCATTGAACTGAAACCTGAGCTGAGAGTTCTTTTGACTTTCTACCCTTTAAGTAATATGTTCCACAGGACCTGGGAGTGGTGAATTCCAAGACCTTTCATCAGCAGCCATCTGTATGGGCTGCTGTTCTCTCTGTGTCTCCTTAGCCACATCACCGCATCACCCTGGGCCTTCATTTCCTTGCATGTAAAATGGGGCTAGTGAGGATTTAATGTTAAATCATAAAGTGCATGGAACAGGATGTGTGTTATAAGTGTTTGATGAATTTTAGATATTCCAAAAGCTTTTCTTGTATGGCCTACAGATGTACAGTTCAACCATCAGGAAGAACTTCACTTCGTAGTGTACCCTTCTGGTGGACATTTTTTAAAAATTTTTTTAATTGAATCGCTTCGAGATTGACCCTTACAAAGCTGTTCATAATTAGATTTCAGTCATATAGTGTTACAACACCCATCCTCCCTGTGGACATTGTTTAAGTTTGCCCTTCAAGTATGCAGAGGTTGCTGACCCAGCTCCTTCCAGGATGCAGTGATAAATTCGGCTATCAGCTCTCACCTCGTTGTGGAGGAAGGATTGGCATGGCAAGCTGCCTAACTGAATTGCCTCTGGGGAAAATATCTCAGTCCTAATGGGAGGGGAGAGGTCCTAGAAGAGGTCCTAAAAGTATGCTCACTGTTCTAGACCCCTATTCCGAGATCCTGGGTGAAATCTTTTGTCTGACTAGACTCCCACTGCCTTCTCAAAATGTGTTAGGTTGCTCGCCAGTCAGTTATTGATTTGAGGTGGCAATAAATAAATAAATAAGAGCAGGAGAAGGGAAGTATTTAGCAAATGCTCCCCAGGAAATTGGAAGCACTTCTCATAATCTCTGCTGAAGCTCTGCATTGCAAGGTGGAGGGCAAGGAGGGGTGGTAGGCTCAGGACCTTGGGCTTATGAAAAGCACAGAAGTTCAGTTTTTAGATCTCGAACTGAACAGCAAGTCACTCTCCAATGCCCACAAAAATCAACCCCACATTGCCTTTGATGTGCAGGGAACTCTGGAGTCAGGGGCAAGCATGCTTGGATGAGCTGCTCCTTTGGCTTGGTCACAGTTGCTTGTCAGTTTCAACACTGATGCTCCCAGACACAAGACCAGCTCTCTTAAGCAGTTCACTCAGCAGCATTACATCAGATGGCTTGAGTCCACGTTGTGCTCTTTTGTTTTTAAATGTGGTACACTTCATGAATTTCTGTATGATCCCTGGGCAGTAGCACGTCCATTTTCTCAGTGTCGTTTTAGTGTTAGCACAATGTGCTGCTGAGGGGAGCTTGGACCCCAGTTTAGGCTCAGTAAGCATTGATTTGGTCAGTTTCACTGAACTTTATAGTTATGTGTCTTGAAAAAATTGTATCTTGCTAACTCCCAGGTTTGGACATCTCCAGGATTCCAATTCTTTCTCTACCTAACGTTTACAAGTTCACGCTGCTTGTTAAAACCACATGCTTCTGTGAGTAGGTGAGTGAGCACCCCCAGGTGAGACCTGTTCTGAGGTTGGTTTTGTGGAAGAAGAATGAAGAACAGGCTTGGAAACGGCACCAGATGTTCCCACATGCAGGAGTAAAGGCGAGCATCTCTCTTTCCAGAGCTCCTCTCTTCCAGGCGTCTGGCTCTCAGTCGTGGGTGGCTTTGAGGTCCATTCACAGAGGGCCCTGCATTCCGTTTAATGCTCTGCAAACACAGACTTGCAGTTGTTAGTGCTTCTTCAGTCAGCCTAGCAATTCTGTGACAACTGATAATTAAATGACTCTATATCTTGGTGAGTCACTCAGGGATTAGAAGGTTAGGAATTTAGCACTTTACTGCTTTTTTAAAAATAAATTCACTTTTTTTTAAACCAGTGGTATCCAAGGGTTACTACTGGCTCTTTGCTCAGGGTCTCTCTTGGCAGTGCTCTCTGTCTCTGACCCTGAGAAGTTTCAATTTAGTAAAAGGAATGAGTGAAAGTGAGTTGATATTGCTTCGTGTGTGTTCAACACAGTATTTTTCCTTTAAAAATTTTGATTGAAATAATTTGGCTTAAAGTCCAATAGAGGTTTCAGTTTTATAGCTTTCTAAATCAGCTACTATATTTCCTGCTCTACGTTCCTACCCAGAACGCTACTTTTCATCCATCATGAGACAGCTTTTTCTCCTAGTTTCTGTCATCACAAATAGGTGGCTGTGGGCTGTGTGTTTCATTTTTATTTTTGGCAGGAGTTTGGTGGGCAGGGGACTTTGGGAACCACAATGGGCTGTGCTCAGGGTTTACTCTTTGCTCTGTGCTGAGGGATCACTCTTGGAGGGGCTCAGTGGACTGTTAGGTTGTCAGATATTGAACCCAGTCAGTATCAGGTAAGGCAAACATCCTCCCCACTGTACCATCTTTCTGGCCTGGCTCTGTGATTTTATTCTTGCCCTTCTCCTCCCTTATATTGTTAAGTTGTGAAGACGCTTGTTGTGGAATCACAGTAGTAGTGCCAGTGATCACTGTCTCCCGAAGATGGAGATGAAGTTAGTTGTGGATGCTTGTCAGTTTTTCCTTGTCTCGATGCCTGGATGGATGCTGAGCTCCTTACTTCCCACTCACCCTGACCTGTTCTCCATCATTGAAGAACTCATTTTCCAGCTATCCAGTGAAGTTTTTCCTTTGCTAGA